GAGATCTGTCTGTCTCAGAGAAATGGCAGAAAAAGAAAGCCTAGAGGTATTTTCTAATCTTGGAAGATGAGTGAGGAGTAGACAAGAAACTCTGAGCAGAGGGTGGCCAAGGCAGCTGAGACTTGAAATAGCAAAAACTCTGAGAAAAAACACTGCACAAAGTGAGAGTTGGCTCTCCTTGTCTCCTATATAGAGAAAGGGGACAAGTATTTCAAAGTCATGACAAAGATTACCCAGATTAAAAGAAATAAACCAGTGGCCATTAAATAACCTAATTGCCAAAGCCATAAACCAAGACCAAGAGGCTGAATTGCTACAGATAAATTATAGACTTTGCTTAAGGACAAAGGGCCTCTGTCAGCCAGAAAACTGTCTCTTTCTACAATAATAATATTGAATATAGTGAAGAAGAGAGAAAATGTTCAGATGAAAGTACAGACTATTTTCTTATAAGAGAAAGAAAAAGATAAGGGAGAAAAATACCCACTGTTTCAATGAAGGAAGTGGGAGACATCAAAACAGCATTGTGATCTCAGTGCCCAGTGTCACTGAAGATTAGTGATAAAGTGAAATTGAAAATTTAATTTGGGTACTGATCAACAGTTAAAACATTATGGGACCTAAAAAGCTATCTTCTGTGAGCAATATGTAGTCATTGGCCATACATGCTAAATATAGCCAGTGCTCAGAAGTGGCTCCTTGTCATTTTCCTATTAGACGCCATTGTTTGAACTGGTGGTCATTTTCCCAGATACCTAAAGATTCTGTAAGTCCTGACAATACTAACAAAGACCCTAATGTGACTTCAGTAAGTCTTGGGAAGTACAGGTGTTTACTTTACAACCTCTGTGAGGTTAATAATGTAAAAAACGAGTGGAGGGCAAGGGCTGCAGCTCAGTGACAATGCACTTGCCTGCCTCAGTTTCTAGCACAAGGAGAAAACACTTAGGACTGGAGAAACTGTTTTAGTACTTGTTTAAAAATAGAAAGTTTTATCTATGAGACTCCTATTAGAAATTCACTGCCAATGTCAAAAGATATAAATTGCCTAAACAAAATTACAATAAATGACCATAAAATGACCATAAATTAAAACAAGACCCAACAAAAAGCAAAAGCATTGAAAGTGCAATACAACAGAGAACCTAATTCTCCCTGACAGTCTTCTTTTCCATTCTGGGCCAGGTCTTGAACTCTGCCTGGCTTAGTTATTAAATCAGGAGATGCTCACAAGCTCTGGGCAGCACTGATGAATTCTGAATTCAGTGGTCTTTCCATGATTCTCTGCATTTATTATTACCTAGAACAAAGTCTGAACTGCATTTTAAAATTCAACTTTCAGAATGCTTCAAAGTTCCAAAACCAGAATGGAATCTCTGACAATGACCTTTTAGTTCCAAAGTACATTTTCTTTCCAAATAGATAAATATAAAAATTCTACTGTGAAACAGATTTACCATTTATATTATTTAACTAATAAAATATACTAATAGGGGTAGAGATGTATGTCCAACAATGTAAATTTCTTAATATTATTGAACCTTACACATAAATGTTTAAAATATAAAACTTTGTTAGCTATATTTTGTCCAAAAAAAGAGAGAATGTGTAGAGAAATACCCAATAGCTGATTTGAATACTAAACATACAAAACACTTAAAATTAAGGAAAGAAGATAGCTTAATTTTAAAAATAGATCAAAGAGTTAAATAAGCAACTTTAAATGTTAGGAAAGAGCATAGAACTACAAATTAAAATGTGCCATTTTCAAAGTAGAAGGAATGTAAATATGCTAACCCTGAGTGCTCACAGGAGGAGGGGATGACTCCTAAACCCTATGGAAGCACAGTTATCATCACTGGGAAATGCCACTCACAGACAAAGGAAGTGGATTCTTCAATACATGCATCCGAAAAGAGGGTTTCAAGCCACGATCTCAGCCAACATGAAATCAATTTGCAAATCATAACTAGACATTTTTAGTGAGATAAAATTAAGTAAAAACAAGAGATTATGTCAGCATGAATGACAAACAGTAAAGGTGACACTCTTGCAAGTAGGCATGTTTTTGTATGTGCTCATGTACGTTTTGTATATAATTTGCAAATGTAATCCTCAGAAGAATTCTGATTTTAAAAAATCATAAACCAGGAATTCTCAAAATTCAACAAACTCCTGAGACCCTTTGATTCTTGGTAGATAGCAAGATCAAATCTATTTTCAAATAAAATGATCTTTGTCCATGCAGTTTCTAGAGGTAACATTATATGAAGTCATAATAGGATGAAGCAAAAGTAAATGGAAACCCAGCCACCTTCTATTAAGCCAGAGGTTAAGATTGACACAAGTGAAAAGTAATGGCATATGTCATTCAATTTATTTTCTTTTAAAAATGTAGTTTGTTTATATATCTTTATTAAACATATTTATATTTATTCTTAGACTATAAGTTATTAAAATATTTATGTTCACATGCATGGCTTTATTGTTTTATTTTAAATGAATCATTAATTAAAGTTTTGTTAAAAATGGCAAAAACCCAAGTATGACAGTAAACATCCAGGATGCAGAGGCAGTAGATTTTCAAGTTTGATACCATACTTAATTGAAATCTTCTCTCAAAAAGCCCCAAACAAGTAACAAAACCCAGCAGCATAAACAAACAGAAAACAGCATGTGCCAGCCATCCCCTTATGATGATAAAAGGTACCAAATTCACCCCTTTGTGTGCTGGTTTCTGTAGCAAATAGAAGCATCAAAATAAGCATGTCTTTCTCACTTTTTAGATCCAATTATTTACTTTTCAGTATTTTCAGTCTTAAAGTGGTAACAATTAAACATAATTTTTTACCTACTGTTCTGAGCTGCACCTCACCTCCAAATGTCCACAACTTGTAAGTTACATGACTTTGTTTGTTTGTGACAGGCTGAAACTGGACCCAAGGTCTTGTACATTCTAGGCAGATTCTTGACTATTAAGCTCCATTAACAGATGTAAATATGTTTGAATGGAAACAAAATATTTTCAGATTTAGTAATGAATTTAGTGTGAATCACTCTGGGTTACAGAGGGTCTTGAGTCCAAAGACAGCTGGACAAAATGACTATATGAAGAAACCATCCTGAGTGACGTAACCCAGTCACAGAAAGACAAACATGGTATGTACACACTCATATGTGGATATAGACATAGAGCAAAGGAATACCAGCCTACAATCCACACCTCTAGAGAAGCTAAGAAACAAGGAGGACCCTAAGAGAGACATACATGGTCCCCCAGTAAGGGGAAAGGGACAAGATCTCCTCTACAATTTGGGAGCACGAAGAGGTGGGGAGGTAGGAGAAAGAGGAGGGGAGAGGAGAAGATGAGGGATCAGGAAGATTGAGTCTGGGTATGA